TATCTATCTATCTATCTATCTATCTATCTATCTATCTATCTATCTATCTATCTATCTATGATATATACCAAAGTTCTTGTTACTAGGTTCTCAGGGTGCTCCTGTCTTTGTCTTGTATAGAATGTCACTTAAGTATGTGATTCGGTTTGTTGTGTGGTTCGGTTTGTTGAATCCTTGCCTTCGTGTGTACCACCCAGCAGCAAAACATAAATTGGCCCTGGTGACACTGAGGAGGGAGCCAACCATGGATAGCTCTGCAGCTTTGTTCATTTCTTGTTAGGCCCAACTTATCATTTAAAAGGTTAAGAGTTGAGGGAGGAAGGGCTTCCTGGGCGTGGCACTTAACCTGCTGCCTTTCTCCCACCACCCACACAGGTAAAGTTCATGGTTCCCTGGCTCGAGCTGGAAAAGTGAGAGGTCAAACTCCCAAGGTGAGTGACAGGATAGATGTTTGGACTTTGCTTTTTCTATCACAATTTTCTGCCTGCGTTCTCTTTTCATGGAGAGGAGCTGGTGGGAAGGATGCCAGACATGGGAGAGATCATGTGTCTCATCAGTCCTTCCCTTTCCCAGGTGGCCAAACAGGAGAAGAAGAAGAAGAAGACAGGTCGGGCCAAGCGACGAATGCAGTACAACCGTCGCTTTGTCAATGTCGTGCCCACCTTTGGCAAGAAGAAGGGCCCCAATGCTAATTCCTAAGTCCTATTGTGATTCTGGCACTCTAATAAAGCCACTTTTCCCGGGCACCTTACTGTTTTCATTTCTAAGGCTTTGGGAGAGAAATACAACTTTTAGGCTAGTGAAGTGACTCTTGGTCATCAGGAAGGGTAAATTAGACTGTTAGCAGCTGCTGGTGATGATAGTACGCATAGTCCCAGTTCTTAGAAGGCAGAAGAGGCAAGTGGATCTAAGTTCAAGCCCACCCTGGTCTACAAAGTGAGTTCGGGATAGCCCAGGCTACACAGAGACCCTGTCTCAACCAACCAAAGTCCAAAACTCAAGGAACATGGTGCCCTGCAGTTTCACAGAAGAGCAGCTGATTAATGGCTCCACCCTAGCAACGGTCTTCCAGTGCACCCAAGCCCACTCTGCTCCTCTGTGTTTAGAATCTACCGCTTCTTAGAATGCAGTGTAACCATTGGAGTAAGGCTGAGTTTGGACAGCACTCCCATCTGTTCTATTTAAACCTCTGCTGTCGGAGAGTTGTGCAGATCAAACTAAAATGCTCTGAGGCCAGTGTCTAGGCCATTGTAGAAGTGTGAATAATGACCACTTGCCTTAGATTCTTTGAGCCTTTTGCTTTTGTACCATAATGGGTGTGGATATGTCCTGTATTTGTATGAAAGTTGTAGGGTGAGACTCTAGGTCTGAACCGCAGCAGCCCACTGGTTCTGAACTCAGGACCCTCTCCCCAGCCTCCCAAGTGCTGCTGTAACTGCTGTAGATGACCATACCACGCTTATGGTGTTCAGGGACCAATCCAGGAACTCGCATCTCTTAACTCTAGATGTGAGCCAGACACAGTGGCATACACCTTTAATCCCAGCCCAGAGAGGCAGGTAGATCTGAATTTGAAGCTAGTGCAGTCTACACAGTGAATTCCAGTTGAGCCATAGCTACACAGTGAAAATCTGCTTATGGCAAGATTGTAGTGGCATCTAATCCCAGCACTCAGTCCCAGATAGGGAGATCTCTTAAGGGCTGCACAGAGAAACCCTAACTCAAAAAAAAAAAAAAAAAAAAAAAATCCTGTAGTAACTGAAAACCCAAGTGGTATACAGGAGTGGAGAGCTGCATTTGTTTTCCTAAAAATGCCCTAGAAGCCAGGCTTGGTGGCACACACTTTTAATTGAGTTCTGAGGCCACCCTAATCTACAAAGTGAGTCCAGGATAGCCAAGGCTACACAGAAAAAAAAAAAGACCCTAGAAAAAGCTTACAAGTGTATGCCTGTAATACTGTAATAATATTTGGGAGGTGGAGGCAGGAAGATGAGGAATTCAAGATTGTCCTCTGCTACAGAGGCAGTTTGAGGGAACCTAAGCGTGAGACCCTGTCAAAAGAAAAGAAAAAAAAGGCCCTAGAGAATGCCAGTGAGGATATTATTGAGACTGGAAAGAAGCCAAAGGAGAGCTGAGCTGAGCCAAACTACAGAAATGGGACAAGTGGTGTTGGGGAGATGCAGGTTCCTGGGGGCTTTGTCAGTCAGATTTTGGGTTTGTATTGGTCCATTTTCCATTATGACTGGACACCAGCCTATGTAGCATAGGCTTTTTTGAATTCCATCACAGGCTCACCCTACAGATAATCCATTAATTCATCAATCCAGTAAGGCAGAGCCCTCAACCTATCTAATTCTTAATAGACCTCATAATAGGAATTGAAGTTGAACACAACTTGAGGGCATTTGTTTTGCCTATTTGTTGGTTTGGTTTGGTTTTTCAAGACAGGGTTTCTCTGTGTAACAAGTCCTGGCTATACGGTACTTGCTTTGTAGACCAAGCTGGCCTCATACTCAGAGATCCCCTGCCTCTGACTACCGAGTGCTAGGATTAAAGGTGTGTGACATCAGGACAAGCTTGTTAATATTTTTTGTTTTGGTTGTTTGAAAGAGGGTCTCACATGGCCCAGGCCGGCCTCTCAATTTGATATATTGATAACAATTCATCTTGATCTCCAGGTTCGATACCATGACTGGTTTATGATTTGGTTCTTGTGGATTTATTATTATTATATTACTTTAATATTTTTCTAGACAGGGCATCACTAAGTAGCTCTGACTATCCTGGACCTCAAACTCACAGAAACCAGCCTGCCTCTGCCAACCCAGTTCTGGGATTAAAGACTATTACATCCTGCTACGACTCTGGTGTTTTGTCTTTGTTTTGTTTGTTGTTGGTGGTTGGTTTTGTTGCTTAAAAGGTAGTTTATTTTTGTATCATTTGGTACAACCACAGGGAACAATAATTTTTCCGAATTTCGCGAGACAAACTTGCTGGTTAAGATCTCAGTGGACTTGTAGGCTTGCCCAAAGAGCTACGAAAATTACCGAGAAGACTCGGGAATGTGCCGAAAGAAGGCTACGTCACCTCCACGCACAAAGGCGGAAATAACCGAAGAAGCGCCGGAAGTGGCGGAGCTGCCGCGGCTATGTGGTACCGGACACGCGGCGCCAGTTGCCATGGAGCCCGCAGGGGTCTGCGGCTTCTGCCCAGCCGGGGAAGCGCTGCCGGCACGCTACACCTGCCCGCGCTGCAACGCTCCCTACTGCTCGCTGCGCTGCTACCGGGCGCACGGCGCCTGCGCGGAAGACTTCTACCGCGACCAGGTGCTGCGGGAGCTCCGTGGCCGGAGCGCTTCGCCCAGCCGGCTGGCTGGCGCGCTACGCCGGCTGCGTGAACAACGCGAGGCCGAGGATGAGCCGGAGGAAGCAGGCCTCGGGCCCCGCACGCGGCCGGGCGGCCTTTCTGGACTCTGGGAACGCTTGGCGCCAGCCGAGAAGGCGGCTTTCGAGCGGCTGCTGAGCCGTGGAGAAGCCGGACGTCTTCTGCCGCCTTGGCGGCCCTGGTGGTGGGGCCGCGGGCCCGCCCCGCGTCTTCTGGAGGAGCTGGATGGTGCCCCGGGCAGGGATCTTGCGGAGCCAGAGCCCGCCCCTGCGAGGACCACGCTGGGATCCGTGGATGATGCCGCCGCCGAGGAACCACTTGCTGAAAACTCTGGGGCCGCGAGGCCTCCCGCAGTGCCCAACCATATCCCAGCGCTAGCTAGTCTGAGCCGCAGCCCGCCCTCCCCGCTCGTGCGCTTCCAGCTGCCCAATGTGTTGTTCGCGTACGCTCACACCCTCGCCTTGTATCATGGAGGGGACGACGACGCGCTGCTCTCTGACTTCTGTGCCACGCTGCTCGATGTTTCTGGAGCCCTGGGAGCCCAGCAAATCTTTGACTCTACGGAGGAAGCCCTGCAGGCCGCAGCACACGTGCTGGAAGCGGGCGAGCACCCACCTGGGCCCCTGGGCACGCGGGGTGCTATGCAAGAGGTTGCCCGTATCTTGCTGGGCGAGGGTCCTATCAATCAGAAGGGCTACACGCTGACAGCACTGGGTCACCTGGCTCGGACCCTGGGCCGAGCCCGGAAACAGGCTGTGGTTGGCGAAGAGCGGGATCGACTTTACCGGGCCCGGAAAAAGTGCCAGTTCCTACTAGCGTGGACCAATGAAAACGAGGCTGCCCTCACACCCCTGGCTCTAGACTGTGCCAGGGCCCACCGAGCCCATGCCGTAACAGCCGAGGAGATGGCATCCCTTACTGGAGAGCTGGAGCGCCTGTGGGGAGGCCCAGTGCCACCTGCTCCGAGGACTCTCATTGAGGAGCTCCCTGGCTGAGCAGGGTATCGATATCATTAATAAAAATTGCGACTGGTCTGCCCAAATGTTGGCGGTACCTTTCTTTTCTTTAAAGATGGTGTATGATGGGGCCCTGTCCTCACTTCTCTTGAAGTTACTAGTTGAGGATGACCTTGAACTTCTGATCATGCCCCAACCTTGACAGTGCTAGGATTACAGGTTTTCGCCACATTGCTGATTTATGCAGCGCTGAAAATCAAAAGCTTCATGTATGCTAAGCAAGCACTCTATGAGCTACATCCCGTAGGCCTGGATTGCCCATTTCTGAGACAAACCGTTTGTTTCACCCAGTCAGGCTCGTTGGACCTACACACTACTTTTCAGCTTGTTCAGCTTTCCTTGGTTAGCTAGCCCCCTACATGCACCCCGCAGGGCACTAACCCCAGGACAGAAGAAAAACACAGCAAGGTTGAAACATTTATCCAACAAGGAAAACTATTTCCCTCTGGGATCAGTGGCTCCCTGTTGCTTTAAACCTCTGTTCTGAGGCTGGACATTCTTGCTGGGTAAAATTGGGGTGCAGGTCCTTCTCCCAGTGCGTTCAGGCCAGAGCTGGTCGATGGATCTGCTTCAGTAGACATAGGGTATGATTCGGTAAGGCACACGCTTACAGTATTCCTGCCAGGCATGGCCATACTTTTGGAGGCACTGCTGCTCGTCGCGGGCCTCCCGGTGCACCAGCAGGGCAGTGAAGTAGAGGAGGTAGAAGTAGGGCAGCAGGTGGGACACCCCTGTAGGGAATAGGCCGCACGGTCAGACACCATGCCAGCTCATAAGGGCATTCACATCTAACACAGGCTGTCCGGGTTCATTGGTAAGAGACCCGGTGTCTGTAGGGAGGCACTGGGTCCATCTCACTGATTATTCCCTCCACCAGGCACACCTGACCCATTCCCAGATCCACTCACCACAGGGCAAGGACCAGGCCAGAGCCATGATGAGGTCTCCCAGGTAGTTGGGGTGACGAACCATTCCCCACCACCCAGACACCAGCAGCTGCCTCCCTGTGGCAGTAGGGATGGTCTCAAGACCTGGGGAAGATAGCTAATGAAACAGGGGACCACAGTTGTTCATCTCACCCATGGCCTCCAAAAAACCCAGCTTACCTGCCACACTGGGGTCAGAAGGATTCTTTCTGAATGTGTTTTTCTGGGAATTGGCCCCACGGAAGATGTAGTAACCAATAACTGAGGAAAAGTATGAGCAAGTGGTATGACAAGTCAGCCTTTTGCCTAACTGACCAAAGCCTGTCAGGCTCAACTATGATAACCGGGAGCCATCTCCCAGCTTTAGAGGAACATCAGATCCTGGACCTACCTGATGGATACTGAATAAAGTATGAAACGGGAAATGAAGGACCCTCCTACTGACCCTTAATGAGGCAGATGAGCAAGGCCATGGGCAACCCGAGAGGCTGTGGATGGTATAGCAGGAACTGGGCCTGCAGGCTGTAGGTGAATGGTACCCAGGCTAGGTCTCCAAAGGCCAGCATGAAGCCAAAACCATCATGTATTATGTCCATGGTGGTGAGGACAGACTCCTGCAGGGACAGGACCCAGACACTCTGCTTTAGTCCAGATGACAGTCTCAGGATCCCCTCTTGCCTTCCCTGCCCAATGCAGCCTCACCTCATACCAGAGGGCATCACCCACATACAGCAACTGGAAGCCATTGACCAGACACATGGCCAGTGAAGGACTCCCCCGCAGCTCCACCTCCTGTATCAGCAGGGCCAGGTTAATGAAGACCTGACGGAAGTGGGGACAAAGCCATTGTCTCCGAGTGGGAGCATCTGAGCAGAACAGTGCCAATCTCTCCCCTTCTCCCAACTCTCAGTTCACATAGATGAATCTGGGTCCTGTACTCAGGGACACTAGATTGCAATTCTGCCTTAAAACTCCTGCTTTTGAGTCTGAGCTTTGCAGAGTGTGTGTGTTTGCTAACACTTTCCCACTGCCATGTGAAAAACGGGGATAATCGGGGCCTGCCTTGAGTTCCTGTTTGAACTAAGGATTAGCTTGTCATTGCACCCTCGTTTCAGTAGCTCCAGTGGACTAAGTAGTGTAGTTTCTTCAGTAATACTGATGTACTGATGTGGTTCTTTTCCTCAAGGGCATCCCTAACAAAAAAAAAAAAAAAAAAAGACAAACCCAAGAAGGAGTATCACTAAGTAGCCTTTTGTTGGCCTAGAACCATGTAGACCAGGCTGGCCACAAACTCAGAGCTCTGCCTGCCTCTGCCTCCTGAGTGCTGGGATTAAAGGTGTGCACCACTACACCCAGCCCTCACAGTAATCTCAGAAGGAAACTTCATTCCATCTTGTTTCACCAGTGAAAAAAATAACCTTAGAGTCTGGTATGTATGTGGGCAGTCCAGTCTCCAGATCCAAGGTGGGACCAGGCCTGGTGGGATTCCAGTAACTGTAATCCTAGTTACTTGAGTAGCTGAGGGAAGTGGAGGGGACGTTGATTTTGAGCTAGCCTGGGCTACCCTAGACCTGTTTCATTACCAAACCAAACCCAAACTCAGGTTCATAGAGGGTCCTTGGCCCTGCTGCCTCTGTGTAGGATCTCCTCCAGGCTGAGTCCCTTTGGAAGGCTCCATCCACTTAACACCAGAACAGCTGGTGTGTTGTCAGGACCACCAAAGGACAAACAAGTTGTTAAATCTGACAGTCCACTGGGGGCACTGAGCTGCTGCCCTTCAAGCAGCACTTGGTCACTGTCTTTGAAGTCAGTTTTGTGCCTGACCACTCCAGCCAAAGCTGCATTTGCTCTCCCAGCAACCTGCCTGCTTCGCGCCCCCCCCCCCCTCAGCCTATCATCACTGTCATTCTGTATATGTTTAGTTTTGTGGTGCTGGCTAGGGGTGGGGCCTAGGGCTTTATGCATGCTAGCCAAATGCTCTTTCCTTTTTAAAGATGTGGTGTTAAGATCTTGGCACCAGGCATGACGGTGCAGGCCTGTAATCCCAGCACTCTCTGAGGCAGAGGCAGGAGGATTTCTGTGAGTTCAAGGCCAGCCTGGTCTACAAAGAGAGTCCAGGACAGCCAAGGCTACAAAGAGAAATCCTGTTTCGAAAAAAAAACTTAAAAAGAAAGACACACACACACACACCCCTCTTGGTCTTAATACTAAAGAAAAAAAAAAAAAAAAACCAAAACAAAACACATGGGTTCATAGCAACACACTGCCAAATGAATGAATGGCAATTGCTATCCACCCAACAATGCCAGCCCACCCTGCTCTTCTCCTGGCTCAAGACCAGCATTGTTAAACCCAGCATGCCTGCCATACCCAGCCGATGAGGCCAGGTCTCAGCTCACAGAAATATTTGAAGTCAAAGGAACCAAGGCGAGGGTTCAGCTCTCGTCCCAGAAAGAAGTCATACAAGGGATTTCCTGGGGAACGACAGAGAGTGAAGACACAACAGGTGGAATCCCGTCCACCTCACCCCTACCTCACTGGGACCCTTCTCACCTGAGTTTCCCCCAGGAGCCAGGGCTGAGGCAGGAGCTACCAATGCCTTCGCATAGAGGAGAAGGCTGAAAATAAAGCTGGTGACGGTGGTCGCAAATGCCAAGGGCAGGAGCATTCCAGGGAGTGCCCCCAGGGGCAGCCCAGCTAACAGGCCCAGCCCCACCAACAGGGCTGTTAGCACCAGAGCCTGGAAGCCTGAACAACATAGAGTGAGCCTTGGGGTTGCATACTCCCACAGTCAACACACACACACACAGTTCTGGGAGGCCACTGGCTTGGAGCTGAGTAGCAGCAAAAGAGGTGGAAACTGCCAGATTCCCCCAGGGGAGCATGTGGTCAGTGCTGTTTCATGGAACCTCCCAGTATACTTGGAACCCAACCCAACCCCTGAAAACTCCAACTCAGGGAAGAGGAGGAGGGGAAGCCCCAGGCACCATTAATAGGGTAGCGCAGGCGACTCTTGTCCTTCAGTTCCAGCCCTTCGGCCACCTGCGGGTACAGGGAAGGTCTTATAAGGGTTGGGGAGGCCTTTCCGCCTGGTCGAGCCCTTCCTGCCCTGTTAGAACAGAGCGCACACCTTGCGTGCAGGCAGCAGGTAGAGCGCCACCTGCAGGCCGAGCCAGATGAATAATAGCAGCAGAGCCGGTGGACTCCAGAGCTCCTCCAGGCCAGGCAGGTATGGTGGTGGGGCCAGGAGGCGCGCCGGGCCAGAGCGGGCCACCAGGAGCAGGTGGAACACAGTGGCAGGTAACAGGACCAGCATCGCTGCGACGCCTGGGGAGGGGGCCACTGCGTCACATGACCGCTCCCCAGCGCTTTCTCAAATGTACAGGTGACTCGGGTTACCTGCCTGCTTTCGCAGGTTCCCAGCGCCATACTCCACCTTGATTTTCATCTTGGTCCCTTGCCCTCCCCAGGACCATCCTCCTGCTCTTCCGGCTCGTCGTTCATTGCACAAACTCCCTACTGTGCAGCTGTCAGCACCAGTCCCCCCTTTCCTGCACACACTCCGCCACCCGCACCCCAGTCCCTCTGCCAGACTTCCCCAAAGCCTTTAGCTCGTGTCCTACCCTCTCCCGTTAAGGAGCATCGGCTCAGCCTCCGCCCCGAACCTTCCTATTTACCCAACGGCCCCCCGAATTCCAGAGGGGCCTGGGAGGCCTCACGAAGAGTCATGATCTTTGCCGGGGGGTGATGATTCACAAAAGTCGATCAAAGAGACACAGCCCGACCCATCCCGAAAGCCCAGTTAGGCCTCCGCATCTGTGTGGACTCTATGGTGGACAGCCACTGCTCTTGTCAAGAGATCTTTAAAGGGACGCGCCCTCTGCCCATCCTGGGCCCAGCACAGGAGCCAATCAGCGCTGGGAGGCGGGGCCCGTGCTGGCGCTTCAGAAGCTTCGCTGCTGAGACCCAACCCCTGGCCGGTCCCATTCCCGCAGGCAAGAGGGAGGAGGAGGGCGCACAAGTTTATTAGAATGGTCCACAAACCCGCCAGCGGGGAGGGCCGCCAGGGTGAGAACAGCACGGGGAGGGCAGGACAGGGAGATGGGGCCGCCCCGTGACTGCGCCAGCAGGGCCTAGCCGCGCTCGCAGATGACCTCAACAACACTGGGCTCCATGGGCACGGGGTCGGGGCAGCGCAAGGCGGCCGAGGCCACCACCTCATCTAGCAGCAGGTGCACCAGCTCCTCATCAGCTACAAAGCGCCACAAGTACAGCTGCAGGAAGTGGCAGTCCACCTGCACCTGCTGCAGCCCAAAGCGCCCAAAGGTGCGCAGCCGCACACACTCCAGGAGCGTCTTGAGGCTGATCTTAATGATGCCAGTGAGCACCGACACCTGCGGGTAGACACGGGCATGCTGTTCGCAGAGGGGCATACACCCAAATTCTGAGCATAAGCAAGGGAGACAAAGTGAGTAAGACAGAAATTTCCAGGGCTCAGGTAAGGAGGGGCCGCCAGAAAGGATGGGGGCATATAAGCCCCAGTGTTCAGATCAGAGATGGGGGTGGCATGAGTATAATCAGGAGTCACTGATTACGAAGTAGAAATGGAAGAAAGAGATCCCTGAGCTTGGGCTGCTGGGGGGTGGGGGTCCTAGCTGTGACTGAGAATCCCGGAGATTCAGGACTGTTCTGGAGACAAGGGCAAAGAAGCCTTGAAGTCAGCATCTAGGCTGGGTCGACACCTAGCTAGAAGCCCTAGAGACTGAGAGTAGATGGCCAGAGTGACCCTTAGTTAAGCTCAGATGGGGTCCTAGGGCTCCCTGGGTTGGTGTGGGAGGCGACCTTCCCCTGGGATATAAATGGGAAGGAACTTCGGACCTTATTGAATTCCACAGGACTGAACACATCAATCCGCTCCGAGAACAGCTTCTGGATGTTGCTCAAGAGGTTGGTGTCCATCGGAGCACTGGAAGGTTGGGGAGCAGTCAGAGCCCACTCTGCACACCCTCCCTTTGGCCTCTCTCAGGGAGGCTCCCCTCCCGGCCTGACCTGGGAGTGTAGCTGGGTGCGTAGCGGCCCTGCTGCCGGGAGCTGCTGTACACAGAGAAGGTCCTTTTGCTGGAGTCACTGCTCTGGGCCTTGCGGACACCCTCTTCATACAGGAGCCCCACCTGGTGAGGAAAAAGGTGCTGCAGGGCCAGAGCATGGGTACTAGCAGAAAATGCCCTTACCTACTTGTCAAAGAATCATGAGTGTGGTCACAGCTTACACCCTGCCTCAGGTGTAACGAAGGCAGGGCAAGAATTAGTTTGAAACCCGATTCTCAGCCCACCCTTGCTCCAACTCTCTGGGTGACATTGGGCCTCCACATCCCTACAGGTGTGAAATGGGGGTTCTAGTGGCACAACGTAAGTATAGCCAGACCCCTTTCGTCTCGGGTCTTGGAGCAGTCATCTAGGCCCCCAGCACGCATCAAGGCTCCACCAGCCAGCCTGAGGCAGCACCTGAACGTCGATAGCTGTGGTGTCCTCCACAACACGCTTCATGACGGCGCGCACATTCCGGGGCTCCAGGGTACTGAGCCAGTCCCGCGTCTCCACACTCTTGCGTAGCATCTGCGATATGACTAGGCCCTGAACCTTCACATAGTGAGTCAGCAGCCGCCGTGCTGTCTCTCTGGCCTCCGCACACAGTGTACTCACAGGTGTAACTGGAGACTGATCCTAAGCCAGGAAAGCACAGGACAATGGTTGTCGGAACTAGTGACAGGATAGAGGCCACTGCCACTTAGGAGGTGAGCAAATCTTGGGAAAGATGGAGGCTGAGATGGGTGCAAACTGCCAGTCTGGTTCTGGTAACCAGACTCTCCAGCCTCCTGTGTTCCCAGCTCCCTCTCCCCTCTCCTGAGCCACTTCACCTGCACCAGAAACTGTTCATCAGTGAGTGTGAGGATGTAGGAGATGGTGGCCGTCTCATAATCCAGGCAGAGGCGAGAGAGCAGCAGGAGCAGGGCAGGTGGAGTGGCACCTCCCTTTTCTCCAGGGCTGTCACAGAAGCTCTGGGCTGTCTGGCACATGGAGCGGATGAAACCCACGATGAGGCCCTCGCGGACTCCCTGGCTGCAGAACTCGCCCTGTGAAAGGAGGCCCAGATCCATAGCCAGTCCTCTCCTAGGATCGAGTTCAGCAAAGCCAGACATGGGGCTGTTCCTGCCCTTTGCCTGAAACCCTCCTCTAAAGGATAACCCCATCCTGCTTCCCTGCCCAGCAGGTGGCAGGGCTGGCAGGCGTGAGGTCCCTGATACCTCTCTATCTTTAACCCAGCTGCATAGCATTTCCTCCTCCAGACTGCCCCCTGAGAATGTAAGTCTACATCCAGAGTACATGGGCAGGGCTGTCTGGGCTCTGGTGACTTGTCTCTAGTTCACCAAGCCCTAGTAAAAGGGTGCTGGCGGGCCAGTCAGCAAAATGAATAATCACAGCCCAAGCACAGACATACCCTGAAGTAGGGCTTATTGGAGAAGGACACCTCCTTGGCAGTGAAGAGATGCACAGAGGCCAGAGAGGCCTTGATGTGGCTCAGGATGGAGCTGGCCACATTGGCCAGCAACTCAGCCAAGCTGGGGCCTTCCTTCCCAGCCAGGCGAGGTGCCGCCAGGGCCTGGCGAACATCTGTCAGGCAGCTCAGGAAGGCAGCCCTCAGACCCTGCAGATGGTGGCTCAGGCGCTCCCGGGCCACTCGCTCCACAATCTCCGTGGCTGACTCTGAAAGGCCAGCAGCGGCCAGCAGGGCCCCTGGTGCTCGCAGGCGCCGGTGGAAGCGATCTAGTGCCCGCACCAGCAGAGAGTTGTCACTGCCACCCTGTTCCTGTGCCAGCCGCCGCTCCACCAGTGCAAAGTAGCGGCCGCCCAACTCCTGCGCAAAGGCTGCCAGTTTCTCCGCACCAGCAGGGCCCTGAGCAGCAAACAGCTCCTGGTAGGCTGCTGCCACCTGGCAGAGGCCACCCACGAAGCCACTGCCACCACGGTCAGTAAACTCTAACACGTCGGGGGCAGGAGGGGAGGGCCCCAGCTCGGTCTCCAGGCTGCTCAGTTCTTCTTCTAGCCGCCCCCGAGCGTTTGCCAGGAACTCCTCGCACAGCTCCTCGGCCGGCTCACCCAGGGCTAGCAGCAGTTCCACGCACTCGGCCTGCTCCGGGGCACCTGAGCAACCTTCCCTGTGGTGAGGAAAATGCAGTGAGGGCAGCTGGTGGGCCACAGGAGAGACAGAATGTGGGCCACCCTTGATGTGACTGAAGCACGAGGACCAGGCCCACAAACCACACCTGAAGCGCTGCCGCAGCTGCTGGGCCAAGCGGGCCGTGATGACCTGGCAGTCGTCCTGGATAGCGCGGAAGGAGGGCAGGTGCTGGTACTGCTGCAGCACGGCCCTGGCACGACCCTGGTAGCGCACGGCCTGTGCATAGGCACCCAGCTCCACGCACTTGGTGAGGCGCGAGGGCAGCTCGAAAAGGAACTGCAGCTTTCGCAGCAGTGCGTGCACCCCTAGGGCACAGGAACGGCATGTGAGCTGCAGAGCTCAGGGCGGCTGGCTGCAGGGCCTGGCCGGCACAGCGCCTACCTGCTAGCTTGGTGATGCGCTCGTGCCGGTCCTGTAGTGTGGCGCTGATACGTGCGCTGAAGTTGGTGATCACTGCCATGTTAGTGGCCAGCCGGTCCATCTCATCCTCCATCTTCCGGAAGTCATTCTTCATCTTCCGAATGGTGTCTAAAAGGGCAGGAGCCAACTGAGTGAAACGGAAATGACTAAAGCAGAGAGCAGCAGCTCTCACTGGTACCAGTGATTTGCCTGAAATGGCTTGGGTCTTGGCCACAGCATGTATTGGCCACAGCATGTTATTGTTGGTGTAACAAGCCCTGCTTACCCCTGTCCCTGGTGTGGAGGGGAGAGGCTGAGAATACTTAAAATTGGAGGGAAAGTGTTTAAAAAAATAAAATAAATAAAATAAAAAGCACCCAGCTTCTGTCCTGACTGACTTCATTTTGTCCGAAGTTGCTCTCCATTTTTCTTTTTCAGCCTCATCCCCGGGAGGGAACTGGTCCCTGGCACCATCAGTGCCAGATCCAAGCCTATATGTTTATGCACACCTCAAAGCTCCAGGCCTCTCAGCCTAACAGAGGTTGCTGCATAAACCTCTTGGTTCCCTGCTTTTGTCCTTTTATATAGAATCATGGAGTCACTGACTCACAAGAGATCTGCCTGCCTCTGAGTGCTAGGATTAAAGAAAGGCATGCACTAACACACTAGGATTAAAGATGTAAGCCACTAGGCCCAGGTACAAGCATACTTCTTGAATAAATGTAAAACTCTGTAGTCTTTGCAGATTAATAATCTCATCTCTTGTAGTACACACTTTATGATTTTTCTCCTTCCTTAGAAAAAGTTCAAAAACCTCAAGCCATCTATAACAGATAACTGTCAAACACTATACATATGTCAACAAATGAGAAAATGCAATATTGGAAAAATTCCTATGGAAAATTTCTCTGCACAGAAATCACTATCTTGATGGGCGAGGTGGTGAATGCCTTTAATCCCAGCACTCATGGAGACAGATCTCTGTGAGTTTGAGAACAGCCTGGTTTACAAATCAAGTCTAGGACAACCAGGGCTACACAAAGAAACCCTGTCTCAAAAAACCAAAAACCAAAACCAAAACAACAAAACAAAAAGAAATCACTACCTCTCTTTATCTTGAGGCTAGAATTAGCGAATTAGCAGATGAGCACCTACTCTCTGAACAGACAGGTGTATGACCTTTGAGGATACAACCCCAAAGATGTGACATTCTCTATGGTCTGCCTCCTGCACACGTGGTTTAGTGTTCCTACACAAACCTCAAGTGTATCTCCTGAAAGCAAGACAGAAGGTACTGTGAGGAGAGCTCACCTGCCTGGTACTAGGGCTGGGGAGATGGCTCAGTGTCTGACTGCATGCTGATCTTGTAGAGGACCTGAGTTCAGTACTGAGCATCTTTTTCAGGTGGCTCATAACCTGATTGTAACTCCAGTTCCAGAGGATCCAACACTTCTGATCTCTGGCCTCCATGGACACCTGCCTTCACATGAACTGCACACACACCCCATAATTAAATACTACTACTACTAAATCTTAAGGAACGTAGATGGAGAAAGGGAGTGACAATTCCACTTTCAAGGCAAACTGACCAGAAACAAAAGTTAATGCTAACATTTTTTTTTTTTTTTAAATTTTTAATTGCCTCTGAGATGCCTAAGCAGCAGGTAAATATGCCTGCCATCAAGCCTGCTAACTGGAGTTCAGTCCCTGGGACCCACACGGTAGGAGAGAACTGACTTCTGAAAGTTGTCTTCTGACCTCCTCACATATGTTGTGGCCCACACAATTGCATGTACACACACATACGCAAAACAAATAAAACAAAACTAAAGCATACTGAAACTTCTTGGTGTTTCCTAAGTGCTTTAGGAATTCCTTTACCCTTTCCCTCTACCTCTTGTCCTTAGGACAACCCTCCCATAGTAGCCATCACTTCTATAAATATCTGATCACAAAGACGGTGGATTGCTGTTGGAACGATCTCCTTCAATCCCTGCTTTTCTCAGCACAGGGAAGGGTGTAAGACTGTGAAAAGTATGCCCGGTGGGATCACCTGTAGCTGAGATGAACTTGTTGTAGTTCTCATAGACCAGGGTCTGCATGTCGCTGTCTAGAGCCCGGATCTGCCGCACCATGTCCGTCTCACTGTCCATCAGCTGGGCCAGAGGGCACTCTCTACGCAGCTAGAGAAGCAGGCAGTAGCATTCAGTGGTTAGTGCTCGCCCATGTCCCCTGCTTCGCCTTAGGTTAGTTCGTTTTCCATGTAAGACACCGGATTCCACCCTTACCAGGAATTCCATATATGGAACCTATAAGTGGCATACTTCACGGGTTATTAGATCAGAGCTAATTTGGGATATGCCAGTTTTCAAAGTCTGCAAGCTCAGCAAAGCCCAGCCTTACACCAGTCAGAGTATGGCCACGCCCACTAACTCGGGTTTATCAAAACGTTAGCATCAAGACCTCAGACCCCCTATCACCTCAGGTCAGTCCTAACTGGCACCCACTTCCTTAGCCTCCAGACATTGCGTGGTAAGGGCTGTCCTCCTCTTGCTCCCCGTACTGCAGCAACAAAACCGGGGCATGATTTAAGTAGGGTCCATTATATTTGGGGGTCTGGACCCGACCCACTCCGCACACACCTTGTCCAGATAAACTTCCGGGTCGAAGTGCGCCCCATTGAGATCTGTCGGGTCTAGGGGGTCAGGTCCCGCGGAGTGCCCCGCCGCCTCCCCCTCCGAGAGGCCGTAGTAAAGCTTCAGCATCCCGTGAGCCTTCCGCCGACGCTCCGGAGCGTCAGCCTCGAGTCCTTCTGGGGAGTCCCCAGGACCAGACTCCAGGCCAGTTCCCACAGCTGCTGCGGCTGCCATAGCTCCAACCTCAACACAAGAGGGTGAGGCTGGGAAGGGAAGGGAGGCACTTCCGGTAGCCCTAAAGTTGGTGAAACCAGGCGGTCCTTTAGATGAAAAGTTCCCCTGCAGCTGTAGGAGACGTGAGACTAAAGTTCCGCTTTGCGCTTGTCCCTCCGGAGTGTAGCGGTTTCGTTGGGCTTCTAAAGCTGCTTGAGCTATGACTGCTGTGCTAGAAGGTGGGCGAGTCGTGGCGTCCCAGTCTTGCATCCCCACAGGAAAGACACTCAGGGAATATGTGCCCAGACTGACTAGACGGGCTCTGAATAGGGAATATGCTTCAGAAGGGGGTGCAAGGATGAAGTGTCCATTCAGTAGCCTGCACTATGGCTTTAGCGGCCGTGTCTCCAAGGAGTTCTGCTCACACTCAATATGAGAACCTCTGTTCTGTGGCGCTTACAGAACAGATCTTACAAACATGAAGTAGTTGGTGAAAGATGTTAAGTGAGGAGTTGGGGTTGAGGATAATTCCTGAGTTTCTGAGTTAGACAAAAATGTAGAGGCGACGCTACCAAGAGAGGAGGGATGAGGTCAGATTAGGATATACTTAAATGGAAAAAATTGAGACTTTACCAACAATTTCTTATGTAAACGTTACTGAGGATGGACTGATAGGGTGGTGGGCTGCCAGGACTTCCTGAAGACCCAACACCGACTGCCATCTGTTTTTAATCTGTAAACTAGGATTTTTTTTATTCTAAATGATAACATTTTTATAGTTTATTTTTATGTGTATTAGTGTTTTGTCTGAGTGTATGTCTGTGCGACGGTGTCAGATCTTGAAGTTAACAGACAGTTGTGAGCATGTGGTTGCTGGGAATTGAACTCCGGTCCTCTGAAAGCGCAGTCAGTGCTCTTAACCGCTAAGCTGTCACTGTAGCCCCTAAATGATATAATTTTTGTTGTTGTTCTTCAGACAGGATTTCTCTGTTTAGCCCTGGCTGTCCTGGAACTGGCTCTGTAGACCAGGCTGGTGTTGAACTCAAGAGATCTTCCTGTCTCTGCCTCCTGAGTGCTGGGACTAGAGGTGTGCGATACCACAGCCATCACAGCTACCACCCAGCTAATTCTGAATGGTATTAAAATTAATGCACCATCCGTTCGGCCCCCCATATTTATTTGTTTTTAATTATGTGTATGTCTGTATCCAGATGTTTGAGGCCAGAAGAGGACATGGACACCTCAGTGCTACTTGCTTCAGCTGCCTACTATTAATTCTGGGGACCAAACTGCAAGAGCAGCACTCACACTTCACCACCGAGCTCATGAGTCTTTCCAACCCATACACCTCTCTACTTCTGTCTCTCTCTCATTCTCCCTCTCCCTCCTTCCCTTTCCCCGACTCTCATTTGTTTTTGTTTTGCTTTTGAGACAGGGTCTCAGTATGTAACTTTGGCTGACCTGGAACTCACTGTTGTAGATCAGGCTGGCCTCGAACTCAGAGATCTGCTCCCCTGCCTCCTGAGTGCTGGGATTGAAAGTGTGTGCTACCATGTCCAGTGCTTCATTTCTTGACATATCATTTATGGCTGCTTTTGTCACAGTCTAAATGGCCCATAAAACCTAAAGCATTTATTCACTTGATCTTGGACCAAAACATTTTCTTGACTTCTTATTCAGTGGGATATTTAAAAACTGTACATATAAAAATTTCATTCAGCCTATGAAACTATAATTTAAGAAAGTGAATTTGAGCTGGAGAGATGTTTTCGCAGTTAAAAGCACTTGCTGCTCTTCCTGATGACCCAGGTTCGATTCCTAGGCTCACAACTGCCTGTAACTCTAGTCCTATGGGATCCAATGTCTTTTGGCCTCCAGGGGGAACAGAAACGCATGTGCACTCAGGCAAAACACTCATACATACAGAAAAAATTAAAATACATTTTTTTTTGGGGGGGGGGGTTCAAGAGAGGGTTTCTCTGTGGAGCCCTGACTGTCCTGGAACTCTCTTTTTTTGTAGACCAGGCTGGCCTAGAACTCAGCGATCCACCTGCCTCCTGAGAGCTAGGATTAAAGGTATGAGCCACCACGCCCAGCAAAATAAATTTAAAAAATATTAAAGTTTAAAAAAAGAAAGAGAAACAAACAAACCAGGCATAGTGATATCCTGTGTACCCAGCTAGCATCCCAGCACTTAGGAGTACAGGATCAGGAGGAGGTCAAGGTCATCCTTATATTAAGTTTGAGGACAGCCTGGGCTACATGAGAACTCTCAAATCTGAATAAAGCAACAATACAAAGGGCTGGAGAGATGGCTCAGCAGTCGAGAGGATTCCTGAAAGCTGTCCTCTGACATTCATATAGGCACTGTGGCATGTGAACCCTCTCCTTGTACCACACCCACTAAAATAAATGAGGCTGGGCATGGTGGCACATACCTTTGATCCAGGCAGGCAGATCTCCGTGAGTTCCAGACCAGCCTGGTCTACAAAAATGGGTTCCAGGGTAAGCAGGGCTGCCTAGTAAGACCTCGTCTCAAATGGAACCAACTCTAAGTTAATTAGCGTTAATTAAAAGTGTCTGTCCTTCGTACTATAGAAGAAATGGGCCATGGGAGTATGCAGACTAGCACTGCGCACAGGTGACAGGAGGCACCAACTCCATGCAGCTTCAAAGACAAGGCTGACTGTCTTAAGGACAGGGAAGACTCCATCTTGCTCTGTTCCTGGTTCCCTCTGATAGCTGGTGGCCAGCCTGGGAGGGGGAGGCAGATTTTCTGGGAGGGGTGGGGGGAGTTAGTGTGTAGTCATCTCAGAATATTATCTCAAGAAAGGGCAGTTTCCATTCACTTCCTGTCTCTGCTCATTGAAGTTTATGGTGACAAGTGGTGTTAATTCAGAGGGCCTGGGATGTGGCCAAAGCCTTCCCTCACTTGGGAGAACCTTCTAGTCATTTAGGCCCTAATCTTTCACCTGCTTTAAACTTGCTGTGGAGCTGGGACATGCTCTGACACCTTGGCTGAGCCCTCACCTCGTCCCTGTACAGTGTCCTGTGGGGATAGCGAGCTGCCCACAAAGTGCAGAGGATAGAATGGTGGGTGCGTGCTGCTGCTGTCTCTTCCTTACACCACAGGCTCCTGCCACTCAGCACATTTTGCCCACCCCTCCACAATGGAACATCCTCAATACCCAGACACATTCTATTTGTTGGGATCAGGATGTTCTAGAACCTTGCCCTCTCCAATGCCTCCCTCACACAGAACACCCTAGAATAGCAGGATTTTGCTGTGCCTGAACAATGACCACTTACTCCAGTTCTGGGGCCTGACGGGAAACTAGGTCGTGACCAGGATGCGGTGGCGGGACCGCGTCGCCATGCTGTTCTTCCCTCCAGGACTGATGCTCAGTGTAGCTGCACTCATGCTCTTCTTCATCCACATGGGTGTCTTTGCCAGTGATGTTCACAACTTCTGTGTCACCCACCACTATGACCGCATGAGCTTCCGATACACGGTTGTGCTGACAGTAGGTCAGGGGTGGGGCTCACGGGCTGGCTGGGGACAGCCAAGGGGCTGATGGAGTAGTCTGCTGTGTCAGGGGGCTACTCTCCCACTGGATCGGTCTTCCAGTTCTCCCAGGTGATCAGCATCTGCTGGGCTGCCATGGGGTCACTCTACGCAGAGATGAGCACAGACAAGTTTTTTCGGTGCTTTGCTTTGACCATCCTGAGTGAGTGGAGGGCTGTGCTACAGGAGGGGGAGCTGAAACCCTGAGAGGTGGCAAGGAGGGGGCAAAAATGCTGAGTTCATAGGCTCTCTCCTCCACCCAGTACTCAATGGAGCCATGTTCTTCAACCGCCTGTCCCTGGAGTTTTTGGCCATCAATTACCGAGAGGAGAGCCACTGAGGCCTGGGGACTGGGGACAGGACTAAGAAGGGAGATGGAAAAAGCTGCTTCAGATGTTTTAATAAAGTCTGTTGTTTATTTGCACCTGTCTGCTCCTTTGAGGGTTGAAGCAGGCAGATGGAAATGCTTCACCCAGGGGCAAGCAGGTGAAGACCAATTTGATGAATAGGGCTACAGACCTGGCCTGTAGCTTCAGGCTCCAACTGTCTTGGCCCAGGGGATCTTAGTGTCTCAGGACTGAGGGAGAGGAGTGGAGAAAAGCCCTTAGGCCTCCCCACCTTCTCTCCCTAGGACTCTAGGTCCTGACCTGGCCCTAAAAGCGAGCATGGGCTCAGGAAGGACCTACACGGATGTGAGGGTTCATGAGCGGGTCCAGATTGGGATCACTGTCAGCTGCAGCCCGGCCGAGTCGAGACATAAGGGCAAGGAGGGCCAGAAAGCCCAGCAACCCCAGCAGGAGCAGCAGCCCTGCCCGCTGGAGCAGAGTCAGTGGCCGCTTCCTAGACCCAGCCCGGCTCCTAAGAGGAATGAGGAGAAAGTCAGGTCAGGCCCAGGGCTCTGCCCTGGCACAGAGAGAATCCTTAGTCATTATTTTTGTGCACTATGAATGGTCATCCAGTACTCCTGTATTCACCATCATATCGGGTTATTATGAAGCCTGAACCAGTGGGACACAAATCATCCTAAAGCTTGAATATGTTAAGCAAAAGGGACACTTATATAATTATAAGTTATAATAGGGACACTTATAAATGAGGTGGCATCACAGCATGAAGGGGCCTCAGAGCCCAAGTCCAAACCTCCTGGAGGAGAAAAGGGAACAGTCCCTGGAGAGGACACAGTATACTAAGGCTGCCTGCCAGCCAGGGCCTCACTATGGCCCTGGTACCAGGTGCTGTTGGTGCCCAGAACAAGTCCCACTGTCATCAAATTGTCCATCATGAGGCCTCTTCTTTCTGACACCCCACCACTGTGTTTCCACATACCTGAGCAGTTGGGCCAGCCAGCCCAGAGCAGGCCGGCGACGGTATTTGTCATCATCACAATCTCCATGGAGGCCTACAGTTCGGTCATCGTCCCGTGTGTCGTATACCTTCCTTGGGGCTATAGGGATAGAAACACCAGCTTCAATGGGCTCAGACAAACTTGTCCACTGGCATAGGGACAGGTGGCACGAAGGATCCCTTGCCCTTCCCCATCTCACAGAGTATCTTGGCAGTTGTGGGGAGGCAATATCTGAAGTGAGGAAGAGCCATTCCACATGGGGCTCCTGAGCTCCCTCCACACAAATCACCCACTTTTTTCCCCCTATTCTCTGACTGGGATAATTCCCCAGCTCACCGTGTGTCAGGGCTTCAGTGCTACCCATGTGTATGACTGTGTGCTGCTCAGGACACTTTGGGGAAGAAGCGTGGGGAACCTGGCTGTAGAAAGCTGGAGCAACAGAAGTGCTATCTGTCTCCTCTTGCGCAGGGGTGGTGGTGGCTGTGAAAAGAGAGAGAACTGTCATTGGAGCATGGAGGCAAGGTCCAGACAGCAGATGGAGACCACCACTTACCATTAAAGCTGGACCAGTCAGAGAAGTCTGAGGAATTGAGGGGCTCAGGCTCTGGGCTTATCACCTCATCGATCTGGAGAGAGGAACCTAAGTCAGTAGCCTGTCCACTCCTGCTGCCGACCCACCCAATCTGGCTCAGGTGAGGCTCTTAAAAACAAATGGTCAGACAGACAGAGGGACTCTCACCAGAGGGAGGCCCAGTCCTGCCCGAGCCCAGTTGACTGTAGCTAGCTTCTCTCTCAGTGCTGAAGCCACTGGGCCAGCTAGGTTGGCTGGGGGGAAGATGGGGCCATTACAGCTGGGGCACTGGTAGCCTGCAGGCGCCGTGTTTCGTGGTAGCTGGGCAGCACGTTCATTGATGCAGGCCCAGTGAAAGAGATCTTAGGACCCATGAAATAAGAAAGGAGAGTCATGAGAGACACAACTCTTTGGGCTCTTAGCCTAGGCCAAGCAATGCACACAACCCCGACCCTGAGTTCATTGCAGGAATGAATGGACATTTATGTGGATGCCTAGGATCATTATTCCTTTTCCTCCTCATCCTCCCAGGTCCCTAAGCCTTCTTAACACCACTGTACTAAATCAAGGTAGATTCTACATACTCAGCTGGCCCATAAAGAGGAGGTGTGGCTGGAAAGAAAGTGTCTTCTACCCTTTCAAGAGTCTTCTCTGGGACTGAAGTCATACTCCTTGGGCTTATGGCTAAACAACAATAGTTTTAGGCTGGGTGTGGTGACAGCTTCCCATAATCCTAGCACTTAGGAGGTAGAGGCAGGGGAATTAAGAGTCAGCCCATGAGATCCCAGTCTCAAAAACAACAAAGCAAAAAAAAAAAAAACCCTAACATACTACATACAAGAATACTTTCAGGAAAGCTTTGCAGACATATACACAGATACATACAGATAGCGAGAGGCACAAATACATGTATGCTTTTAAACACACAAACAAACCCAAGAGTCATTCCCTCAACCGACACTAGTTGTCACACACATAAGACATCCAGATCTGTACATTCATGTCCACTAACACTAAAAAAACCATCACCCTCATGTCATCACGCATTCCACATGTGTTCATATCTGTTCATCACCCATTCCCTCAACCACAAGCATTAAACAAGGTGTGCGTCTGTATGAGTACGCACAATTTCACACAGAGAAACACAGGTGAAGCTGCCCCTTTTGGACCAGCACCTTGAAAATCTTAAGCTTTTACACTAAGCTGTGACTACTGACTCTCTCTAGTTAACTGTAATCTGGGAAACTTCCTCTCACTTCAGTCTTAAATGAGTCAGTAACGTTCCCAAAAAAGTGGATCTTACTCATAGCCACAGCTCATAGTCATCTCCAGCACTCCAAGGCTAGCTGAGCAGGATAGTAGGAACTTTAATAATTAAGAAAGACACTAAGGCCTAGGAAGGGAAAAGGCTTGCCTAGGCTTAGAGAGCAGGAAAGTACCCAACAGAATCAGGATCTGAGGCTCTGGCTTCCAGGCCCCTTCCTAGTTCCCAGGCCTCACCATAGCACACAAGACGGGTTGTCTCCCGACTGGCCAGAGGTGTGTTGCACAGGCGGCAATTGGGATTGTAGTCACTATCTTGTAGCCACTGCAAGTAGGACTGCACGATGCACTAGAGTGGGAGAAAGATGTCACAACTGATGTCCAGGCTCTTCGATGAACATACCACTCCAAGGCCCAACTGCATTGTTTCTTTCATCAGACTCATAATTTCATCTGTTCAACATTTATTGAGCACCTCCTGAAGGCCTAGCAGAGAGCAACATAAACCAAGTCCTTGTCCTTGTGGAGCTTACAATCTAGCCTAGAGCCCCGTCATGGATTTGGAAGTAGCCAATCTTGCCTGTCCACCCAGTGCCCTGCACAGCCACTGCTTTAAACGCCGTACCTTGGCGTGATTGGCTACCAGACAATGCTCGCAGACGTTAACTCGGTGCTCGAAGCAGAACAGGTTCGTCACCTTCCTCTTCGGGCACTTGCAAAGTCCCATGACCGATCCTAGGGAGGAGATCTGAGTTAGCAGAAAGTGCTGGTGACTGCCACTTTGTCCTCATCAACCCAGTTCATTTCTTCTTTGAGTCCCCCAGACCCGTCCACACCTGTCCAAACACCAAACTGTAGCCTACTGCCTCAGCACGGGTAAGGCCACACCCCCTTGCATAGATCGTACCACAAACGACCCCTCATTCCATCAGGACCTAGCCCCCTAGGAAGACCTCTCCATCAACAACTCCAATACCACCAGCCCCGCCCCCAAGGCCCCACCTCCTCCTGACTCCGCCCCCATCCGGCCGACCCCATTCTGGGTCTCAGGGAACCTCTGAGATACCGGCCGCAACGAGTGCGTACCGTAGTGGAAAGCGCGGAAAGCCGGGGACCCACTCCGGCTCACCCACTCCGACAGCGGTAGCTCTGTTCCCGTCGGCTCCGGCCGCTCGGATTATCCCTCCGCTGCCACGTCTCTTCCGGGTGCGGCGCACATTGATGACGTCACAGCGTTGCCCGGCCACGCCTCTGCTTTACGCTAGACGTAACGCTGTTACGACCGAAGAGTATTCCGGGATCGGCCCCCTCCCGAGCGTCACTTCCGCTTCCTTCCTCGACAGGCGGGTAATTTGAACGTTTGCGGCGGCAAGTTTATCGTTTGGCGCGAGCCCGAGTTGGTGCCCGCAGCGTAGAGTGAGCCCTAACTTAGATATGTCCGAGCGGCGAACGCGATCCGGAGGGGCTGCCCAGCGATCTGGTGAGCGGAGGGCGCGCGGGAGCAACGGGGAACGAAACTTGAGGCCCCTGGTAGAAGACGCCCCAAAGTGGTTGTTGAGAAACGGCTTCCGCTTTTCCCAACTCGTCGAGCATCTTGTTTCGTTTGGCGTTGTTCAACCCTAACTTAAACATGTCTCCATTTCCAGAGATCAGGACTCCACGTACTAAGCCTTCGAAGAGGTTGCAGCGGAAATCTGGCTCAGATCTCCCGAACATTTTACCTGAAATCTGGCCGAAGGTGAGATCCGAGGTCCTCCGGTACTGACCTGGACTGCTTTGAACTAATGTAAAGCTCATGGTAATCTCTCCCACCCCCTTTTTCAGGCATCTCATTCGGTTCCACTCAGAAAGACCATCGTCTTGAAGAAGATCGTAGCTCATTCAGTAGAGGTGAGGGGGCTGAGAGAGGGATTTGGAAAAGAGATGTCACAACTGAGCTAAGCTGTTGGATTAATCAGTTGATGTTATCCTTACAGGCCCCAGCTCTCCACACACTTCGCAGGAGTCCTAGGGTGAGTTCAGTTCCATCTTTTTTTTTTTTTTTTCAAAACAGGGTTTCTCTGTGTAGCCTTGGCTGTTCTGGATTCCCTTTGTAGACCAGGCTGGCCTCAAAGTCACAGTGATCTGACTGCTTCTTCCTCCCTGAGTGCTGGGATTAAAGGTGTGTGCCACCGTGCCCAGCGCCATTTGCTTAATTGTGGTGTGAGATCCAGTTCACCTGAGAGGATAAGCGAACTAAGCAAGCCTGGGTCCTCATCTTGGGTCTCACTGTGTAATACTGTTGCCCTTTATTGGATGTTGCTGTAGACCAGACTGTCCTCAAACTCACAGAGGTCCACAGACATCAGTCACCCCAGTGATGGGAGCAAAAATTAAAGATGTTCTTGCCACCGGGACTGGCTATAATGACCATTTTTGTTTACTGTCTGCATATGTCATTCATTGCTTGTTCTTTATGCTCTGGACATTTTCACTATTTTTCTCGAAAAGTTGAGTTATACCTTAACCATTGGTCTTCTGTAAATCATTTCGCCATCGGGCAATTGTGGTGACACATGCCCTAGCTCCCGGTACTAGGGAGGCAGAGGCAGGCGCATCTGTGAGTTTGAAGCTAGCCTAGCCTACAAATCAATTCCAGTATGGCCAGGGTTACACAGAAAAACCGTGTCATAAAACCAAAACAACAGCCGTGGTGCGTGCCTTTAATCCTAGCACTTGGGAGGCAGAGGCTAGGCCTGGTGTACAGAGCAAGTTCTAGGACAGCCAGAGCTACACAGAGAAACCCTGACTGGAAAAAAAAACAAAACAGCAACTACAAAAGAGAAAAAAAAAAATTTTGCTTTCAGCATTTATTTATGGTTGTAGGATGCTATGTTTAGGGGCTTAGAAAGATGGCTCGGGGGCTGGAGAAATGGCTCAGAGGTTAAGAGTACTGATTGCTCTTCCAGAGGACCTGAGTTCAATTCCCAGTAACCACATGGTGGCTCACAACCATCTGTAATGAGATCTGGTGCCCTCTTCTGGTATTCAGGTGTACATGCAGACTGATCATTGTATACATAATAAGATAAATAAATCTAAAAAAAAAAAAACTTAAAAAAAAAATATATATATATATATAAAAAGAAAGGTGGCTCAGTGGTTGAGAGTAGTTTTCAGTACCTACATCAGATGGATCCCAAACATCTGTAGTTTGAGGTCTGGAGTATCCAAGGCCCTATGCAAGCCTCCGTGAGCATGTGCATTGTTGTAGAAGTGGATTTTAGACTCTAGAAGGCTTTCCTACCCCAGCTAATTCCCAAATAATCAAGACAGAGACCTTTTGGATTTCTAAAAGCTTTAAAACACAGTGACTGAGTAGACCTCAAGCCTCTATGCTTTTTTGCTATTTCCCAGCCACACACCCCAAGATATTTGCTGTAATTGTTCTTGCCTGAGGAGCTTCTGTTCCATTGTGCCAGCCCTCACGGCCTTGTGTTCATGGTCCATACTGCCCTGTTGTAATGTCCTTTGGGGTGCTGCTCTGACCCCAAGTCCCTGAACCTAAGCCCCATCCACTTCTCTTTTGCCCCGTTAACAGGCTCCTAGCGAATTTTATTAAGCAACCAACTTTAAACTGGGGGCATGGTTTACACAACATCACTTGTGTCTGTGCTCCTGTGGGTAGCCAGCAGATCTTGGAGGTCAGTACTTAGCATTAGAATACGTAGCAACAGACCAACCCCCAACAGCGCACACAGATGTAAAGGAGGCTGGGTGGTGGTGACCCGTGCCTTTAATCCCAGCACTGCTGCGGTGGGGGCAGGCAGTCTGAGAGTTTGAGGCTTAGCCTGGTCTACCGAGCAAGTTTCAGAACAGCCAGGGCTACACAGAGAAACCCTGTCTCAAAAAACCAAGCCAAAGAAGCAAAAGTAAAAGATTAGTTAAATGTAGGGCTTTTACAGTTTTAATAGAACTTATTATGGACTTTTGTTTGCCCATAAACACCTTGGTTTTTGAGACAGGGTCTCATGTAGCCAAGCCTGGCCTTGAACTTAGTATGTGGTTAAAGCTGGTTTTGAGTTCCTAAACTTGAACCTCCCAAGTGGAGTTACAGGTGTGCACCACTGTACCCAGTGATAGTTTGTTCTTTGGACAGGTTTGTGTTGTGTTGCTCTGGCTGGCTTGGTACTCTCAGTCAAGGCTGTCTTCTTTTCTCAGCCCCAGAGTACTAGGATTGCAGACGTGAGGCCTGGTGCCCACTTTGATGTGTTATTCTGATATGTGGTGCTGGAGGCCAATCCTAGGACACAGTCTCAGGTCCATGCTAAGCAGGTCCCCTACTGCTGAGATAACCCCAGCCATTTGTTTGTTTTCCTTTGTGGGGGAAGGGCTTTGAAACGAGGTTTTCTTGTTTAAAAGGACAATCCCAACCTTTCTATTTTACCAATAAAGATTCAAGAGGCAGAGAAAGTAACAAGCTAACCTTATCTCAGATCTGGATAGAAAAAACCAAAAGGCCCACTAGCCACTAGTTCAGTTCACAGCACAGGAGCAAAAGGACAAAAAACAAAACAAGGCCAAAGGCTTTTTAGCTCAGAGCAGAAAAGCCAGGGAGCTGAGGAGCTGAAACCTTAGCTAAAGCTAAATCTTGGGCTAATAAATCATTCTCCACCCTGTCTTAAATATCCCTCAACTTGAAAGTCCCTCCACTTTCTCTGTCAGCTGTTTTCTTGTTCCACCTCTTTACCTAGAGTTAACTTTATTAAATCCTGTGTACAGAAGGCTCTTGGATTAAGAGTGTGTGCTAGGGCTGGGTGAGCTGCACCATAATCATCTGTTTACAATAAACAAAGTTCTTGGATTAAAGGTGTGTAACAGGGCTCAACGACACCAAAGAAGCAGGGTCAGATATCCTGCAACAAAGGTTTCTCTGTGTAACAGCCCTATCCTGGAATTTCCTTTATAGACCAGGCTAGCCTCGAACTCAGAAATCTACCTGCCTCTTTCTCCTGAATACTAAGATAAAAGCCATGCACCACCACGCCCAGCTTCCCAGCCAGCTTTTAACCAAGGTACTACAGAATAAAGCTGGAGGGTTTAGAAACAGATTTCTGGCTCTATCCTCTCCCCACCTCTCCTTCCTCTATTCCCCTCCACCTCTTTCTCCCCTCTCCTCCCTCCCCCACTATTAAAAAGAAAGAAAGATTTTTCTGGGGTTATGGGAGTGATTTCATTGGAGTCCTAAGACAAGGGGCAGAGTTACGATGCTAAAGGCCTGAAAAGATAATGGCTGGACAAGCTTCCATCTATACACCTCCTCCCACAGATCTTCCTGGCTGCTCTGATGCCATCACTGACACATTTCTCTGGAATATTTTTATCAATATCTGTTACGGTACTTTCTTACATGTTTGATGTCTTTCTCCACTCTAATTATAATTACTTTAATAGTGGGAACTTCTGAATTCAAGGCCAGCATCGTCTACACAGAGAGCCCCTGTATAAAAGCTGGTGACTGTTGCTGCAGAGGATGGGGAAGTGTGGTGGTCAGAGATGGTCCCACTTCTGATTGTCATTCCTTTATTAAGATTCTCCAGAGCTTATGGCTAGGAAACATCTTTTCTTGATGACACTCTTGTATTAGAGCATAGGTGTCCTTTTTTTTTTTTTTTTTTAGGTCTTGGCCTCTAGAAAACTAGGTGCCAAGTTTCATGTCCATTAATTCAGTGACCCTCTGGTGTACAGGTTTCTGTTGCACATGCTGGGCATTGGCAAAGTTAGCTCGTTATCTGGTAGCCCCTGATCCTCAAGCAGCTCCCCTTTCTGGCTGGTGAGTTAAGCAGGACTACTTCAGGTAGCTAGCTATATTGGTGTACTAGACATAAGAGGGGCATGTGGCCGGGCACATTGGTGCACACCTGTAATGCCAGCACTAGGGGAAAGGGACAGTTGTGGGCTAGCCTGGTCTACAAAAAGAGTCCAGGGCAGCCAAGGCTACACTGAGAAACCCCATTTCAAAAAAACAAAACAAAAAAAGGACATTGTGGCGTGCTAGTTGGCAGATGGGAGTCTGGGTTCATCTGGATGCCAGGCAAAAACAGCCTATCTGAGGAACAGCTATTGGAACGCAGAGTGGGGGCGGGAGTGAGTAACCAGTGTAGTAGCCCCAGGTACATATGTCAGGTGAAGCTTGGGCTGGTCACACCTTTGCTGTGGCTTTTTTTTGGCCTTGAGTCAGAGTCTATGGCAGCCCACATACACAGAGGTATTGTAGTGTACTGTAATACCACTTCCATTCTTTATCTTCAGTTTCTGGATCATTACTTCCCAACCTCAGCCACACTGATCCCTTTTGTTCCTTGACCCTGGCTGGAGTGCCATGTCCTCAAAGCTTTTGTACCTTTCGTTCCTACTGCCTAGAGCGCCGTTACTTCAGATGTCCACACATCTCTTCTCACCTTCAAATTATACCTCATGTTCTCTTCTCAGTGAGACTACAATTCCAGCCTGCCTCATATTTTATTGTGTAGCCCTTGACTGGCCTGGAACTTGGTCTGGAGATCAGAGATCCGTCTGCCTTCCAAATGCTGGCATTAAAGGTGTGGGCCACTTTAACAACCCCAGTTTTTAATGCTACAATGGAAGAGCAGAAGTAGCAGTGACTTTGTTTTCCCTGATGTAGTCACAGTACTCAAAGCACTTCCTGGTATAGGACAGGCCATCAGTAGCTATTTATTGGCCGAATGAACATTTTAGAAAAATCTTTAGCAGCTATGTGCCAGCTGTGGCCCATACAGGGCGAGGCTGGATGCAGACAAAGCAATTAGGCCACCAAGCCGTTTAGATATGCTGAGACTTTATGTCAGCTAGCAAGTGGCGACCGCAGCAAGTGCAGCTCCTCAGGAACAATGATAGCTGTCTCTTTCTTCCCAACACTGGGCATAGAGCCCAAGGCTTGTGGCTCTCTGGGGATGGAGCTCTGCAGCACAGCACTTGCTGACCATGCACACGCCTTTAATCCCAGTACTTGGGAGGTAGAGGCAGGTGGATGTCTGAGTTTAAGGGCAGCCAGGTCTACACACAGAGAAACCCTTTCTCAAAAAACTAAAACAAAAAAACAACCTGAATCCCTAGCTGACAATGGTTCTGTCTCTTGTCCTGATACAGATCTCTTTTAAGTTGGAAAAAGAAAACAGCCCTCCCCTCACGGTAGCCACTGAAGAGGAACTCCTCAAGATTTGTGCTGTCCCTGGTGCTTCCGCCAACACCCTAGTGTTGCGCACTGAGAATGTTGAGTCTAACTCTGGGGAAGGAGAGCTGGATGCCAGAGACTTGGAGATGTCTCAGAAAGTCAGGCGTTCGTACAGTCGGCTTGGGAGCAGCACCTCTGCCTCAACCTCCACCCCTGGCCGCCGATCCTTCCCTGGCTTGCAAGGACCTGAAGCCTTGCAAGGACTCTCACCTGTTGTGGGTTCAAAGTTAATTAAGATCCCAGACGAACCTGCAAAGCCCATGGTTCCGGACACAACACTCCCTGGAATCTCTCCCCCAGTCACAAAAGTGAAGCGGAAGAAGGTGCCTGAGATCCTGGTGAGTGAGGGGCAGGACCTCTCCTGCAGCTGTGGAGTCAGGGGGTGTGTGGGGCCAGGACTCAGCTCTGGCTCTGGAAGGAAGGCAACGCATGAGGCTGTGGGTAGCATGCTTAGGTCGGCCTGGCCGCTTTTCTCACTCATGTGTCCTCATTTCTCTCCACCAGAAATCAGAGCTGGATGAGTGGGCTATGGCCATGAATGCTGAATTTGAAGCTGCTGAGCAGTTTGATCTTCTGATTGAATGAGATGAACTGGGATGCCAATTATTGAATAAGATGAATGGGCTAGGTCCTCCTCTCTCCCTATACATATTGCCTGTTGAGTCGAACAAGACATGAGAGCCCTCCTTACTGGCCTTTTTATTTTGTGACTAGTTACCCTGGACTTTACCTTCATGGTGGTGGGGGTGAGAAGCCACATCTGCTCTGAGCCAGCTCTGTCATAAACAGGTTCAGTCCTGGGCTGTCTCTCTGCTGCTGCCCTCTGTTGGTGGCTGGGAGTCCAACCACCAACCAGTAAAGGGGTTTTGTTTTCTAGTTTGGTTCTGTCGAGTTGAGAGAACTCATAGGCCAGGGAGACAGTTAAACTCTTGAGGAAGAATCTGGACATTGAGTCTGTGGAGTCTGAGATGTGAAAGATGGAGGGAGTTGTAGTAGGGATTTTTAACACAAGTGTCTTTATATAGGGACTACTCTGTGTTCTGTTGACACACTGGTGAATGGGGTACTGCTGCTTAGGGGGCAAAGTGGGTACACTTCAGAGTGCGGCCTCTGGATGCCACTAACGTAAGGTTTACCATCTCTACTTTGACTGCCCTTTCTTTACCCACATCTGTTTCTTTTTAAACAAATCTTGGCTCTGTGATGTGGCTTTTTGCAGCTACACTTAGAAAGTTCTGGAAAAAGTTCTGGAAATCATTTCTCATGTGCCAGACAGCTATAACACTGATGGCAGCTTTTGCTGTGAGCTTGGCTATTTCACTCTCGATGTGAGACCATTCCCAAGGGGGTTTGCTGGGAACTAAAATGAACATATTATCGTGGTCTATGGGGAATTCCTTTCTGCCTACCACCTACTGTCAATTATGGTAAGAGATTTGGTTTCAAAGACCATTGGACTTTGAAATTTCAACAAGTTCATAGGAAAAGAAGCTTCAGGCAAGCAACCTGTTATTCCAGGATGGTTTTAGCAGAACATTCGTGAAGGATTTGTCCTCACTGGTTCCTGTGGGCCCTGCGCTACATCATGCTGAATTACTGTCTTTGAGGAACTAATGTACAGCCTAAGGAAAAGGTGGTTTAATTTCAAATAAACATTTTAGAAGTTTCCATCTCTTTGTAGACTGTTTTTTATTTGGTTGAACACAGAGCCACTGGTGAAGTGCTGGATGCCATTCCTGTCTTTGGCTTGTGTCACCTGTACAAGCTGCCAGCCTGGCCTTCCTTCAATAACTCTGTTCCCTGAGCTAGGACTTCTGGAAAGAAGGCACAGGAGGAGAGAACTTGGGTCGGAGTAGCTGTCAAGCACTCTTTTCCAGAAGTATATGGAATCAGGCCCCCTCTAGCCCAGTTCCCCTTTTCCTCAGGCTCCCTCCAACATGGGCCCCTGTGGCTCAGGTGTTATGGCCCCTCCTAAATGCAGCCTAGCAGCTGGGCTATGGTGCCTCTGAGAAGCAGACCAAAGATGGGATTCCTAGGGCTGCTGTGCAGATGTGAGTGTCCTAGTTCATCTGATGGATTCTAGGTCATTACGTTTCCTCTAATGTGCTTTCTGAACCTAGACTACTGTCACAGCTAGACCTGCGGGCCAACAAGATCTTGCATCTGTTGGTCTCACCCCTTCCCTGCTTCTAGGGTTACAGGTGCGTGCCACCCCCCACAGCTGGCTTTTATGTGGTTCTGGGGGTCTGAACTTTACCCACTGAGCTATGTCCTTTGCCCCATCATCATGCTGTATACCAAAGTGTATCTGCATCATGATTTAAAATGGCACCAGCTGGAGGTGGTGGCACATGCCTTTCATCCTCTAATACAAGGGGTACCTTGGTGGCTCACACCTTAATCCCAGCACGCAGGAGGCAGAGGCAGGCAGAGCTCTGAGTTCCAGGCCACCCTGGTCTACAGAGAGTTCCAGAGCTACACAGAAACCCTTTCTTGGAAGAAAAACCAAAACTACAAAAACAAACAAACAACAGCTGGCCCTGACTGGAGCATGGCCTGTAAAGACCTGGCATTGGCCACGCTTTAATTTTGATTCTCTTGAGAAATCAGCCAGGACATTCACGGGTACCATCACAGCAGTACGGAAGGCAGAAGGAGAACAGGGTTGGCAGGTAACTTCAGACTTGTGCCTTGAAAAATGCTGTTATTTCCATCCCAATAGATGGGACATCACGCTCTACACTGTGAGAGTAGGAAACACCCTCAGAGAAGACAGGGAACTTAGAGGAACCTCATGGGAAAGCACAGCAGTGGGGACAAGTTTGCAATCCCATTAAAAAGGGAACTCTTTGTTCTGAGTGAGAAAATGATGTGGGGTTGAAAACAATGTTTCAGCCAGCAGTGGGGGGCTGGCACCCTACAGTCCCTGCACCCGGGGGGCGGGAGGTAGGAGCAGGGGCTCCAGGCCGTGCTCCACTGTGCGATGAGTTGAGGACCAACCTGGGCTACACCAGACTGTCTCAAAGACAAGAACAAACACAAACCTTTTAAATGTAAGCGCATGCTCTGCAATGCTGTCATGTATGAGACGTGTTTGTGTGCTTAGAAATCCTTCAGGGACTGTAGCTCAGTGGGAGAGTGCTTGCCTAACACCCGTGGCCTTGGGTTGGAGCTCCAGTACCACTTACATGAAATGATTCAGTACCTGAAATTCCAGTGTCCTGTTTTTCTTTTTTTTTCAAGACAGGGTCCTGGCTGTCCTGGAACTCGCTTTGTAGACCAGGCTGGCCTCCAACTCACAGAGATCCGCCTGCCTCGGCCTCCCGAGTGCATGTGCCACCGCTGCCCTGCAAATATCCCATATCTTATCTGGTGATTTTACCAAAGCTTCAGGTAAACAGAATTTTGTCAAGTAACTCCCTTCAAAAAAGCAAAACCAGAAAACCAAATAACCCAACAACAACAAAACAGGATAGAGAAGTTGAAGAGGAAGCAATAATATTTAAAGGGATCCTACAGTTCTGTAAAGTAGAGAATCCCTCAGTGCAATGTCCCTCTTGCACTGAGAAGCAAGTCAAAGATGGCATTTGAGATCCTCTGTTACAGCACTTCTTTTCCTGTTTTGGTTTTGCTGTTTTGTTTGTTTTTCCAGATAGGATCTCAAGTAACCTGAGCTGGCCTTTAAGTCATTATTTAGCTGAAGGGTGCCTCAAATTCTTTCTCCTCCGTCCTCTACTAAGTACTAAGACTACAGTTGTGCCTAAAGTATTCACTTTGTGGGTATAATTGAATTTATACCCTGGAGAATGGTTGTGGCTCCTGGAGATGACCTAGAGTGTAAAAGCCTCTACCAAACAAACCTAACACCCCAAGTTTATTCCTTGAAGTCAACGGTGGACAAAAAAGAACCGATTTCTGCGAGAGTTGTCTTCTGACCTCCACATGTGGACTGTGCGCATACTCCCTGCTTGCACACGTGGTAATAAACTCTTTTAAACACTGAAAACTGGGTGTATTGATTTCTTCTTTCCTTGTTGTGACCACATACCTGACAAAAACAGCTTAAGGAAAGAAGGATTTATCTTGGCTCACAGTCTGAGGAGACGGTCCGTTATGGCAGGGGCGTCATGGCAACAGGAGCTTGAGGACTCCGATCACGCCGCTACTGCTTTCGAGATTCGGGGAGAGATGAAGGCCAATGCTCACTTCTCCCTGCTTTTCATTTTGTCTAGGACGCTAGCCCATGAACGGTGCCATCACATCCTCGAGTGGGTCTTCCTCCCTCAGTTAACCCATTCTAGGATCTTCTTCACACACATGCCGGGAGAGTTGTCTCCTAGGTGATTCTAGATTGTCAAGGTGAACCATCAACACTGGGCATCCTGTACTGTATTTGCTGAGGGCTTTACCACCTGGGCTGGGCTATGGTCTGGCAACACTAGCTTTGGGGGGCTCTGGCTTGCTGGATAGAGCTGGTAATGGGTGCTAGACATTACTACCTAGACCAGTTACTATCCCAAGAAAACCAAGCTTGTTACAAAAGGCAAGCAAATGGGATGGGGAAAGTGGGTCACCAACCAGGTCTGTGTCTCCCTCAGTCTCCTACAGGCAGACAGAGTGCCCACTCCAAGCAGGTCTTGAAAACAGCAATGCAGCCTGCTGAGTCGGAGGTAGAAGAACCTGGGGACTCCAGTGAGCCCAGCGTGGAGGTGACAGCAAGCCCTAGGGGCTCTCCCATCTACTGATGACCCTAAGACAGAAGGCAAGGGAGAGAGGCAGGCTACCAAAATTCTTCTTAGCCTGGGCCAAAACCCATACTCCTGATCCTCAGATTCCTCCCTGTGGGCCATCTTGGGTCCTTGACCAACTGGAGGGCCTCCCCTGGGAGACAAATCTCATTTGTTCTGTCCTTTCTACTGCTTTCTCCCCATAAGCTGAGGGGCACAGAGATCAATTCTTTATGAAGCAGAGAGATGGAAAGAGCAAGAAGGGGAAGGAGGGCTGGGCTCTTGGGTTGGAAGCTTCATGCCATTTCAGTCAACCAAGGCACCTTCTCTGTAAAGCCACCCTCAGAGCAAAAGTCAGACGTGGAGCTGGAACCCACCATCACGTTCCTGTTCACACTCCTGAACAGTGCTGAGCACAAAGATTCGGAAACGTAAGGCTGCCTGAACGGGTGTGTGTCTGTGAGTGGGTATTTCTTGAAGGGAGTGGAGGGCAACCCCCACCCATGGCCATGCAAACTTGTGCTAGGATTAAGCTTTGGGCTGAACAGCAGGAAAGTCCACTCTGTGGACAGGGGTGGGTGGATGGGTGGGGGAGGGAGCTGGATCCCAGGCTGGGAACACACACCTGACCTCCAGACCCTGAGGTCTGACTCTCACCTCCCCAGGGACACAGAGGTAGAGGACAGCCAGTTCCTGAGTGAAGATGACTGGGGCCCTAGGCGGACCATAGAGGAAATGGAGCATTTGCAGATAGAGTGCCAAAGGTGAGCTTCGGGAACACGTGGGGAAGAGTTTGCAGGACAGGATGATGAAGACAGTTCTGCTGAAGCCTTAGCTGAGGGTTGGGGCCGCCACTGCGGCTCTGGGTCTTCACTTGCCCCAAATCCTCTGCCTGTCTTCTCTGTCTTAAGTCCTGTCAAGTCCCTCACCTCCAAAGCAGAAGTATTTTACAGGGTCGGGATCTGTCCCACTGGCTAGTGGCCACAGCCATGGCTGAGTGGCAGGAACCTAGCATATTGAAGACTCTTTAAGTGTCGAGGAACTAGACAGGTAGCTGGCCCATCTAGGGGAGGGGTTCTGTTCTGTGATGTCAGCCGGTGGAGCTTGGGGTCTGTTGGACTTTGCCTGGCAACAGAGGTCCAGGAATGGATGCGATGCCTCTCCTAGTGCCCCCTGCCTTTGGCCCTGTATCTGAGCAATGCAAGTTTCCACTCACAGTGCTGGCACTGAGCTCTCAAGCAAGGCTGATTCATACTAGAAATTCTCACCAACCTGGAGCCACACTCAGTCCTGAACCAGCCCTAATACAGCTCAAAGGGATGGACAGCCTTTGGCCCTGCTCCATGGAGATTGCAGCCGAAGTCTGATAAGTAGCCTGTCTGTTGCTAAAGAAGAGTTGGGTGTGGGTGAGTGGCTACAGTCTCAGCATTTAGAGGTGGAAGCAGGAAGACGAGGGGCTCAACATCATCCTCTCTTTGAGAATTCTAGGCCAGGTGGGCTACTTGATTTTTTTGTTATGAATAAACAATGAGGGCTGAGGAGATGGCTCAAAGGTTTAGAGCACTGGCTGTTCTTCCAAGGGTCCTGAGTTCAATTTCCCAGCAACCATACAGTGGCTTGTAACCATCTATAAAGAGATCTGGTGCCCTCTTCTGGTGTTCAGGCACACATGCAGGTAGAATGCTGTATAAATAACAAATCTTTAATATGTGGCTCATTGACAAAAAGAATAAAGAGTTGAGCATGTAGCTCAATTGGTTGGGCACTTGCTGTGGCTCAGGAAGCTGTGGTGCCAATCCCCGTATTATATAAACTAGGGGTTCTGGTGCGTGCCCATAAACTCAGCCCTGGGAGATGGAAGTTGAAAGACCAATAGTTCAAGGGCATCCTTGTCTCTGGAGTA